GGCAGACTGAAACAGTGAGTGCTGTTAGTGGCAGGTTCCTGGGGAAACATCCCGTGTATTCTTTGGCATCCTAGTACCCTGGTGTTAGAATCCAGGCAAGACTCAGCAGCGTCGTGGTTGCCTCTGGAGTGGACTCAGTGTTAGGTGAGAGATGTTGGCACTTCACTGAAAGGAGGAAATGAGATCGTGCTTCAAAGTGCTTCATGTTTCCCCCTAAATGCAGCAATGTTTTTGTTTTGTTCTTTGGACAGGATCTTATGAAGGCCAGGCTGGCCTTAACTTACTATGTAGCTGAGGATTACTTTGAATTTCTAATCCTCCCGCCTCTATCTCTCATTGGAGAAGTGTGCCAGCATGTCTGGATATTCAAGGAATGCTGTCCTTTGACAGAACTGTGGACTTAAGTGTTTTGGTTTTCATACTGATGGGGTTGTTTGCCTTTTCTTTTTTAGAATTTGTTGATATTTTTAAATTACTGTTTGTGAGCGCATATGGCACAGTGTAAGCAGAGGTAAGAGGACAACTTTGTGGAATCATTTTCCTCCTCTACCTTTTTTGGAGGTGTTGAGACAGGGTCTCTCTATTTCTGAGTTTGGGCTCAAATATGTAAGCATCTTGGGACCACTGCTTTCAAGACAATGTTAGCACTTCTTTGTTTTGTTTTTGAGACAGTTTCTTTATGTAGCACTGGCTGTCTTGGAACTCACTATATAGACCACCAGGCTGGCCTTGAACTCATAGATACTCCTGCTTCTGCATCCCAAGTACTGGGATTAAAGGTCTTTCTAACCATGCCCAGCTCTATTACTTTTGATTATTACAAGCACATAGGTTTTTTTTTTGTTCTTTTAGTGATTGATCAGCATGTGCTCAAGGTCAGGGTTTGTGTCTTCTGTAAATTGTTTTGAAGTGTGTGTTTGTGTTGTAGAGGTCAGGGGAGGATAAGGATATCTTCCTCTATCACGCTCTGCCCTATTCCTGTAAGGCAGGGTGTCTGACTGAACCATCAGGTTCCAGGGATCTTCTGGTCTCTGCCCCTACAAAGGTGTTGGTGCCCACATAGCCATACACAGGTTTTAAGTGGGTGTTGGTGATTCAAATTTAGGTCCTAGTTCTTGTGCTGCAAGTGATTTTCTACCCATGGAGCCTTCCTGGCAGCCCTGTTGTTACTGTTTTGAGCTAGGGTTTCACTTTGTAGCCCAGGAGTTCAATATGTGGACCAGGTGGCCTTAAACTTCTGGTATCTTTTTCTGCTTAAGCCTCCTGATTGTTAAAATTACAGGCATGAGCAACCATGCTTGGCTCTCTGTTGGGGGAGGGGATACATGAGTAACCATGCTTAGTTGTCTTTGGGGGAGGAGAGGAGGAGATGGGGAGCAGAGGACTATTGAAGCTACTTATGTCCAGGCTGGCCTTTAACTCATGGTGATCCACCTGCCTCAATCTCCTGAGTGCTCACAGGTGAGAGTCAGTCACCCTGCCTCTGTTCTCTAAGTTGGAAAACAGTTCATCCTCAAGTTCCTGGATTACTGGCAGCCCCAGTGGTTCTGCTGTGATAGTTGTAGGATGGCCCTGGAGAATGGTGAGAGTTGGACGCTTGGAGGTGTGCCCAGGTAGCTTCTGGAAGCCTGTAGGCATCTTCACTAAGTACCTTTCAGATCCTGTGCTTTCAGAAGCCTTTGCAGTGGTCTAGCTAGTGACATGGGTGGTAGAACCCAGTAGGAACTGAGCTTTGAGTTTTTCTGCCACATCTCAGTGTTGTTCTGGGTGGTTGCAGTTCCTTGTGGTTCTGCGCACTTCACCTTTTTAAAGTTCCTTCCTGCTTCGTTTGCAGTTGGTGGAGTTGAGTAGATGGAGTCCTGCTGATCCATCTCACCTAAGATCTGTCTGCCACCCAGACCCCAGCTGGTTCTTTGTGCTGCTGGGTATACTGGACACATTCTTGCCAGCGATTTCTGCCACAACACTGTGTTCCTCCCCATATCTGCCAAGGTCCACACAGGAACCACGGGGCTGTGAGAAAGAAGACTGTGTCTGGATGTCAAGGAACAGAAATCAGGAGAGGCTAACAGCCTGCACCAGTTGCAGTGTCTGAGGGCTCAGCAGATGGTGGCAGGAGCCTGCTGTGAAGATACTCTTATCTTGGTATAGTGGGAATACAACTGGCTGAGTCCAATTTCCCATTCTCTTTTGCTTTTTGAGTTAAGGTCTTGTGGTGTAGCCCAGGCTGCCCTGGAACTCATTATGTAGATTAGGCTAGCCTTAAACTTGAAGTGATCCTCTTGCCTCTGCCTCCCCAGAGCTAGGATTAAAGGAATGGCCACCGTACTTAATGTTAGCTTGCTTTGAGGACCTCTAGGCCTTTGGGTCTGTGGTGGTTTGAATAAGAATGGTTCCCTGAACAGGGACTGTCTCTGATGTGAACTCAATGGCTGGCTCTTTGATCACCTCCCCCTGAGGGGGGACAGCCTTACCAGGCCACAGAGGAAGACAGCAGCCAGTCCTGATGAGACCTGATAGGCTAGTGTCAAAGGGGAGGAGGACCTCCCCTATCAGTGGACTGGGGGAGGGGCACGGGAGGAGATGAGGGAGGGAGGGTGCTACAGCTGGGATACAAAGTCAATAAACTGTAATAAATAGAAAAAAATTAAAAGAAAAAAGAATGGCTTCTTCAGGCTTATATAGTTGAAAGGTTAGACTGCAGGGAGAAAGATTAGGAGGTATGGCCTTGTCGGAAGAAGTGCGTTACTGGGGTGGGCTTTGAGGTTTCAAAAGTGTATGTGAGGCCCAGTGTGTCTCTCTCTGTCTCTGTCCCACTCTCCTTTCTTCTCCCTCTCCCTCTTTTTTTTTCCCGTCTTTCCTGTGGGTCAGGTTGTAACTCTCAGCACCTCTTCAGTGCCATACTCTTCAGTGCCATATTCGGCCATGCTCCCGACATGATGATAATAGATTAAATCTCTGAAACTGAACATAGGCTTCCAATACAATGCTTTTTTGTTGTTGTTGTTAAATAAGAGTTGCCTTGGTCATGGTGTTTTTACAGCAAAAGAACAGAGACTAAGACAGGGTCCACTTTAATTGCATGGATTAAATTCAGTCAGTATTTCCAGACAAGTAAGTCCTGTTTAGCCCCTGCAGGGCTAGTTATATATCAGCATGAGTGTGACACTGTTTATAACCACTGTAGTGACACCTGTGTTCATGGTGTCATTATCTTCCGATTTCTGGCCACCCCAGTCCCGTCTGACTGCAAGGGGTCCTTTGTTTCCTGTCACATTTTAGGCTGACTGCAGGTGAGGTAAAGGTGTGCACTTGGTTGTTGTGGTGCTGGGGATGGGACGTAGGGCATCAGGAATGCTAGGCACGCTCTGCCAGTGAGCTGCATCTCTTGTCATCTGAAGGTCTGTCCTGGAGGCACTGCTGCCCACTTGCCGTGTAAGTGATGCCTGCCCCTCCTGCTGGGAGAAGGGAGTGGGCTCTGAGTATCGGGGTTCACCTTTCTTTCAATGGGGTGGGATCACACCCCATGTACAGCCACGACTGTACATCTTGCTGCAGGACTTTTGTGTGTGAGGTGCTGGAACCCAGGGCTTTGAGCCTCCTGGGTGAGCCTGTGCTACTGCACTGTAACATCACCTCACATGCCATTTTTGTACTTAAAGCCTGCACTTTGGTGTAGCACTGGCTGGCCTGGAATTCACAGAGTCCGTCTCTTCCTCTCAAGTGCTGGAATTAAGATGTGTGCTACCACGCCTGGGGGCTTTGAAGCATGGCCCCCGTAGACTTGGACTCTGATTCACTCTGCTTGCTGAGGGAGAGGGATAATTTAGTTATTGTTATGTCACTTTTAATAATCAGCCCTTCCCTCCCAGCTTCATGGCCACGCTCATGGACGGTTCTCACTTGCTCTTTCTCCTCTGATCGTTTGTGGCAGCGTAGAGCGCTGGTGGCAGCCAGCCTTTTAAACAAGGCCGCTTGTATAGCTTGGGCTGGGCCTGGCTCAGCAAAGCTCCTCCAGCCACACCGAGCAGTACATACAGTGTTCTTGCAGTGTCCTGCATGGTTCAAGGAAGCTTTTCTCCTCAGCTGGGGGATGTTCATTCTCCTCGGAGGCTGGACATGCCTTACAGGTCTGAGTTGGAGAGGGCAGGTTGCCCTGTCCCGTGCTTGTCAAACTTCCACTTTTATCCCATATGCTGGTATGCCGTGGCCAAAGAACTTACACGACTCACAGAGTCTGTGTGTGGGGTGTGGGTATCTGGAGGCTTGATGGGAAATGTCAGTGAGCTGTAGATGGTGGCTTAGAGGTGGGGTTCTGCTTCACAGCTCTATGAAGATGACCAATTCCTCTTCTGTAGTCTGTCACCTTTTGGATCCTGATGAACATTAAGTGTTTTTAAATTTTATTTATTTTAAAATATGTGAGTGTCAATGTGAAAGTGTGTGCATGTGATTGCAGGCACCCATGAAGGCCAGGGGCATCAGATCCCCTGGAGCTGGAGATGGTTGTGCGCCAGGTAGTGTGTGTGCTGGGAACAAAGTCAGGACCCCTGTAAGAGCAGTATATGCTTTTAACAACTGAGCCGTCTCTCCAGCCCTTGATGAACATGTGTTTAGTGCTGGGATTAAAAAAAAAAAAAAAAAAAAAAAATCAAGGCAGCCTAGCTACTGCAGAGCTCATTTGTAAAATAGTTGTGATTTCTTATTCTAGGCACAAAACATTCTGCTAAAGACACTGTTGAAGGTTTTGGATAAAAAGGACAGTATCTGCTTTGGGCCTGATTTTACATTTAGAAAATACTGGTAGGTTTTTATGAAAAATGCGTTGCTATGATGACTTGGCTTTGAGTCTGCAAACTGGTGACGACAAGGTCACCTAGGAAACGGAAAGCTGCAGTATCTGAGAGGCCTCCGAAGGGTTTTGTTGCTATTGTCTGGCATCTGATTGGCTTAAAGGAGTGGCCGTTGAGAAGGGACTGGTACATCAGAGGTAGACTGGCCTTCTGAAACTTCTAGGGAGAGATAAGGCTGGGCAAATCTCCCACTTGGGCTTCGGTTTGAAAACAAAGGGGAGATTTTAGGCAGTCTCTGGATAATTATGAGGTTTGGCTCTGATCTTTTGGCTACTGAAAAAACAGGAAATGAGGTAATGTCTTTAAGCTTGTAGTATTATAAAGAACTGTAAATGGCTAAATATGGGCAGCTATGCAGCTCTTCGCAGCATGGTTCCTGTGTGAGTGTGAGTGTCTTGTGCGTCCCCTGCTGGATGCTTTGTTCCATAGAGGTCCACAGCGGTCTAAAACCCCAGAGGCGCTCTTGCTGTTGAGGTGGGAACCCTGGTGGTGTAAGTGCTGGCTGCAGAGACTTCTCAAGACCCCCCAACTCGGGCAGCTGGCAGCTGCAGAGCCACGCAGGACCCACCCACAGCGCCTGCCCAGGGCAGGGCGCTCTTCTGTTCTGTGAGTGTTGCTTGTTCTCTTGGGGAACTGAAATCACTTGTTTTTGTGTTACTTTGCAGAGGTCTAAGTACACATTTTGGATTTTAACTGTGATAACCTACTGATGTCGGAGAGTGAAAAGCAGTTGAACGGTAGGAAGGAACTAGACAATTTTCAAGTCCTTTACTTGGGAACAGTTGACGCTGTTTCACTTCTAAGGCACACTGGCTGCCAGTGACTGTTGGAAGCGGTCTGTAAAGTGCTGGCTAGAGCCTGCCGAGATGAAGGACTTTCCCTTAGGCAGGAAGGCATAACCTGAAGACGTGGAGTGTGCCCATGTTAACTTCAAGCAGGAAGTGCAGCAGGATCCCTCTGCTGTCCTGCAGCCTCGGCCCCTGGTCTCTGCTGTGGGGCACAGCCCAGCCGCCTGGCCCAGCAGTTTGGTTTGCAGAGCACTTTCCCTTCAGACAGAACTGAACTTGGAACTGGGTTCAGTTAGTGGAAATCTGCGCTTCAGGGTTGGTAACAGAATGATGAATATGTATGGGCTCATTGGACACTTGGGGTGGGATTCACGGTGCTTCTGTTCGCAGTGGTGGGGTTCTGTGAAATAGACTACGTGTAACCTGCCTTAGAAAATTTCTAATCACAAAAACAAAAGACCTTGCATGGTGACTGCAGTGAGTTGGCAGCCACACTCTCCAGCCCTTCTTTCCCTGGGGCAGGTGGCATCCTCTGCCAGCTTTCCATTTGGGCCCACAGACTGGTTTCTTAGCACTGAGGAAAGGTCAGGAACCGTTGGCGACCTTGGTGCAAGCTGTGAGTGTTCCCCTCCAAGGTGGGAGGGTGGATGCATATGAATGTTTTCAGGGGTGACTGCAGGATCCCATTTCTCCAGCCTGAAGGTGCAACTTAAAGACTCACTGAGCTTTGAGGTCTCTCCTGGATGATTATTATTGGTGACCTAATTTTAACTGAGGACTAGAGACTAGAATTCGGACCAAGGTTTTCCATCTGTGTGGTGAGGGTGTGGCAGGGTTGGTATCCTGCCACTGTTGACCCCTTGGCAGTGCTGCTGCAGGGTGTGATGAGTTTCGGGACTCTATTTTGTGGTGAAATCTCTCTACAGGGCCCAGGCTGGCCCTTAACTTGGGATCCGCCTGCTTCCGCCCTTCTAACTGATGGGATCATAGGCGAGCTCTGCTCGTGTCTTTAACTCAGCGGTTCTGCTGCTCAGAGTGTGGTCCTCCGTAGACAGGGTCAGAGTGATCACAAGCTGCTCGCCATGCTTCTAGAATCTCGCACTAGTAAGGGGCACTTGGTGAAAATGGCACGTCAGCATATTATAGCCCCATGTGTATGCCTTACTTTTAGTTTTGAATAGTTTCTAGTAACACAGGGCGACTAAAACTAGGATGCATATGACATGAAACATAGTAGTAAAAAGCCTGGTGGAAAATGAGAAAATACTATTGTAATTCTCAGTGATGGTGGGGTGGAGGCCTTCTTACCAGGTTCTCTGTGCAGTTCCTTGTTTATAGTAAACATTAGTTCTAGAATCAAAGGAGAGGGGATTAGGAAACTTATAGATGGTTTGTCTTAGAGAGACATTCCCAGGGTGAAAAGCCCACACCGTGGAGCTGGCTCATTAGAGCTGCTTGGTCTGGCTGCTGTGGGAATGCTTTCTTTTCTATCTGGCATGAGACACCTGAGCGCCTGACCAGTGGAAGCCTGGCAGGGTAAGCAGTGGCAGAGGGACTGTTTCTGTGTATCTTCATAGATGGTATTTTTTGGGGATTCTAACTAAACGGAGAGTTGGCTTTCAGTCTCATCCTTTACTATCTTCCAGGGTACTCATTAAAAAAAATCTTTCATCTGGGAAGTAGAAACTCATCAAATGTATTTCTCTTTAGGATTCACAGATGGAGTCAGCGGAAAAGACAACGAACAGAAGTGAACAAAAATCCAGGTACTTAAAGTCAGTTACTCATGCAGGGTTTTTCTGACTTAACATAGCATCCGTCTTCAGGGCAATGTAGCATGGTGCTGGAGGAGAACCCAGGGCTGCTCACCATGGTTTGTCCCAACATAAGAGACATTCAGGAAAGTGACCTTCTGCTCAAAGAAGCCATCAGAGCCCCACTTCCAAACCAAGCAACCTGGAAGTAGGATGGGAAGGGCCACAGGACTGGGAGTGGCCAGCAGGTCCCACTTACTGGAAAGTGATGCAGAATGACCTGCTGCCCCCTGAAGAATGCAGTGGGTTTTAGGAGGCAGAAAACCTGCATCTTGTCAGGAGTTCTCTTGCCTGTTACCACAGCAAGATCACTTTGTCCTCACAGTGTGTGTGTGTTTTGCAGCTTCAAAGGAGGAGAGGGGCTGAACTCTTTGATTACAGCTACCTGTAGAGATGCTTGCTTATCACTGTAGGCAACAGGGACTTTGTCTTCTGGTAGTGGATAGAAGAACAAATGTTTGACCTGAACACTCTGTTTCCAGACTGGAAGCTTGCAGTACTTCCAAGCTGACTGTTGGCTTCCTCCTTCCTTGTTTTTAAATAGAAAGTTTTTAAAGAGCCTCATTAGGAAGCAACCGCAGGACCTGCTCCTGGTCATTGGGACTGGCGTGAGCGCAGCAGTGGCCCCCGGAATCCGCGCGCTCTGCTCTTGGAGGAGCTGCATTGAGGCAGTCATTGAGGCCGCAGAGCAGCTGGAGGTCCTGCACCCTGGGGACGTGGCCGAGTTCCGGAGGAAGGTGACGAAGGACCGGGACCTGCTGGTTGTGGCCCATGACCTGATCCGGAAGATGTCACCTGTGAGTCTAGAACACTTGAGCTTTCATAGGGCTAGCCTTGGGCTCTCGAGTAGGCTGAGGGAGGGCGTGAAGTGAACACTAGGCTTCTGTGAGCAGAGGCCCTCATTTGTTAGTGCTCAGCCTATCAGGACACCATCTTTTGGGCTTTTTGTTTGTTTGTTTTTCCCAATTTTCTTCCTTTTTTAGTTTTTGTTTTTTTGTGACAGGGTTTCTCTGTTACACAGAGGCCTGGCTGTCCTGGATTCACTTTGTAGACCAGGCTGACCTCAAACTTACGGAGATCTCCTGCCTCTGCGTCCCAGGTGCTGGGATTAAAGGTGTGCCACATCGCATCCAGCTGTTTTCCTAATTTTCAAAATTGAGTTTCTCTGTGTAGCCCTGGCTGGCCTTGAACTCACAGAGATCCTCCTGCCTCTGCCTCCTGAGTGCTGGGATTAAAGGTATCTGCCACTATGCCCAGCAGGATGCCACTTTTGTAAACCCTGACATTGGGCTGCCTGCAGATGCTGGAACAGCTTGTAGTAATGGCTCCCACAGGCTGGCTGGCTCTGGATGCTGTCATGCTCCCATATAGTGTGAGGTTTGTGAGACACTGTGAATGTGCTTTGGTTGAGTAGGCTAGTCATAACTCTCTAGATAACAGATGGTCCTCAGAAGACGTTTAAGGTAGGAGGTCAGTGTCTGTCTTCCAGTAGAAATGACATAGCATAGTTGGCGATGCAAGGGACAGTTAAAGAGAGGCCACAGCCAGATGGTGGGTGGGTGTGTTGTCTAGCACAGGTGCTGAACAGAAGCAAGGGAGGAGCTGGAGGAGGCTGTTTCTCACTGGTCTGTATTCACTGGAGATGTGCAGTCAGCATATAGAGGAGGAGAATTGAGATGTGAGCATAAGGGAAGATGATAAGAACATGAAATGGTCAGCAGGAAGGGCAGTAGGGGTTTTGGGGGCTCCAAAAGACCAAAGAGACACCAGATGGTGTGTTTTCATTGCGATAGGAACTCTGATTCCTACACTGAAACCTGGGGAGGCAACCCAGGCACATGCAGGAGCTCAGTGGTATTGGGGACCTGGTCTCTGCCATCTCATGGTGAAGTTGCCTATCTTCGTACAGTTAGCTGCCTGCCTACCCCCTGCTTCTTCCAGTGAGCAGTGAGGAGGCTGACAGCCCTCGCCTGCCCATGGAATCACTAGGTCACTGTTGTCCGCCCAGTGCTCCACCTCACCTTCTTAGGCTGGGGGGTTTTCATTGGGTGGTTGAGCCAAACGCGGGTGTTCCGCTAGTCAGGAATAGCTGCCGTCATAGGCAGGGGCTGGGCCAAACCTGACCTGCTAGCCATTTTTATAAAGTTGTGTTGGCATGTGGCCATACCCTCTTGCTGCCATATCATCTATGGCTTTTCATGCCCAGAGTAGTTGCAGTAGGAACTGTGGCCTAACAGATTTACTCTCTGGCCCTTGGTAGACAGAGGATGCCGAGCCTTCATACAGGAAGATGAGGGCTTGCCCTTGGGCTGGGGAAACCTGTGGGATGGCGAGGCAGCATCGAGTGGCTTATGCTGGGAGAAGCTATTGTGTTGATCACTGTGGGTTAGGATATGTGTCTGAAGCTTCACCTGATGCTCCTCACCCTTGTGACTCTTCCACCCTCCCAAGGAGAACCAGCTGAGGTGGTGGAAGTTGTGAGCCATTCCAAAGGGCATCTCGTTGGTTGTATGGGTTAGCAGGCACTTCAGGGGAGTAGCCTCAGTATGAGGTGCCTGCTGCCTCCTAGGAGAAGGAGGGCCTATGGGTAGCTTGTCTGGTGGCTCTGTCCTGACTTGTGGGCTGTTGAGGTCGAACTGACTGACACTGAGTGCTGCTGTAGGAAGCGTAGGCTAGGGCTGTTCTTGGGGAGGTGTGGCCTCTTGACCCCTGTGTATGTTCAGCTCAGCCCAGTCTTCTGGCAAAGCTATCTACCATCACCTCTTCTCCTCACTCTTAGCTCCCTACCTTCCCTGCCCTACTTGGAAAGAAGGGGCTTTCAATAGTGCCTTATGGCCTGGTTCGGGGTCACCTCTCTGACTTCCCCTGCTAATCCCCCCTCCTCTTCTAGCCACACACAGGCTCTTTGCTGATCTTGGATCCATTTTCACTAATACTGCAGTGCCTTTGTGCTTGCTCCTGTCTGCTTACGACAGTCTTGAGAACTCCCCATTCCTTCAGGTCTCTGCCTGGACATTGGTTTTTCAGAGAAACCTCCTTGACCTGCCCACTCTCACCCGAGCAGTGATTCTCTGAATTATTCTTTCTAAATTAATTAATACAGTAAATTATATGGCAGCAGTTTTCTTTGACCAGTTAGTTCCCCAGGCTATGATTTGTTATTAAGCTGTAAACACTGCTGGGCAGGTTCTGAGCCATTCTAGTCCTAGTACCTTTAAAAGCCACATAAAAGCCACTCACGTGCCAATCTGATGACTCCCGGGCATCAGTCTGTTCTTACAGCCACGTGCTCATTGTCCATCTTGCCTCATGGCGATTCTTTCTCTCCTCTTTCGGGCTTTCACTCCTCTTGCTGCTGCTTCTCCTCTTGTTACCTCTTCTGCTCCCCCTTCCTTTCTCAACCCCAAACCCAGGCACCTAAAACTCAGCCTCCCTCTCTTCTACCCATTCATAGGCTTTAGCATCTTTATTTAGTCAGTCAGGGATAACTGGGGAACATTCCTTATCATCACCTGGTTACAGGAGATAACTCAACATTCATAACAGTGCCCATGCCAGGGCACAAGGCACCGAAATCAGCGTTTGAAAACACAGTGGGACCTTCCTCCAACCTTAATGTCACATGGTATTTATTGCTGCAGTTACATCCTTGCACTTGAGCTGTCCTCCCCTGAGGCTGACTTCATTCTTTCATCTTGTAAGAATGAGCCTCCTCACTTGTGGGCCAGGTGCTTACTCACAGCAGTTACTGAGCCCTGCTGTTCCTGTTTGTTGTCATTTTGAGACGGGGTCTCTCTATGTAGACCTGGTTGGCCTGTAGTTCACAAGGTAGACCAGGCTGGCCTCAAACTCACAGAGAGAAACCTGCCTCTGCTTCTGCTCTTGCCTCGCGTTCTATCATGCTCAGCATATGTTCCTAACTTTTGATCTACCTCTCCATAGCGTACAGGCGACACCAAGCCCAACTTCTTCCAGGACTGCCTGATGGAGGTTTTTGACAGCCTAGAGCAGCACATCCAGAACCCTGTGGTCCTGCAGTCCATCCTCAGCCTGATGGACAGAGGCACCATGGTACTGACTACCAACTATGACAACCTGCTGGAGATCTTTGGGCAGCAGCAGAGCAAACCCATGGAGTCTCTGGACTTGAAGGACAAGAAGAAGGTAAGGGCTGAGTGGGCAGGAGGCTCAGAAGTCATTGCTGTGGACAGCTTACTGGTGCCTGCATTGAAACAGGGCACTGGGTTACTGCCGGATGCCACACAGCCTTTTCCTCAAGCAACCAGGGGCCATGCCCTTCCCCTCTTGTGATGCTCTCTGCTGTCCATCATATTTTCTCTTCGTGTTCTGTCCTGTGCCTTGCATGCATTTCTCACCTGCATTTGTTGATTAGTGGTCACCACGGGAATATGGGCAGTAATGCAGGTATAAAAGGAAGCACCTACAATCCTTAGTGTGGATTTTTTTTTTTTTTTTTTTTTTGTACAAATGGGATTGCAATGTATTTAGACATTTCAACCCTGTTTTTATTTTTATTTTTTCACTTAATATTTACTTTGGAGCTAGGGACTTGCTGAATGGCTCAGGCAGATTTCATACTTGGGATCCATTCTGCTTCCAAGTTCTGGAGTTACAGGTGCACAGCACTGTGCTTTGCTTCCATTAGCTGTTTTTGTTTCTTTTCTGAGACATATTTATGCTATATAGCTGGGCTGCAGCCCACTGTGTAGACTATTGGGGGTTGTTCTGACCTAGCCCTTAAGATCTGGTTAAACCAATCCTTGTTATGTAAACCTGCCTAAGTCATTATTAGCTGATTGGTTGATTAAAGGCCTATACCTGGGCAGGGCAGAATGGGGTAGGCGTGGCTAAGGTTTCCAGGTTTCGGGACAGGAAAATCATGGGAGACAGATGGACAGGAAGAGAGGAGGAAGGAGGATGCCACCATGGGTTAGTGTGGAGAAAAAAACACATGGGCTGAGAGGAAGGGCTCCAATAATGGTGTGAAAAGGCCCAGATAAAGAGTACAAGTAAGTACCATGGGATTATGGATGGAAGGTAGACCAGATGAGGAGGATTAGGGTGGATGGCATTGGATGGGGGCTGGGAGATGGATGGTGGAGTTATTGAGCCAGCATAGGTGAACTATCTGCCTGGCCCAAGGTAAATAATGCAATTATAAAATCTAACAGGTGTCTGTGTCTTATTGTTTATGATAGTAGGTTAAATAATACCGCCATGATAATCTTAAGGCTAATAATAAACATTAAATAGCCTAACGCTTTTTTTTAAAGAAATAATTTACTACAATAGACAATGCTGAATTCATAGCAATCTTCCTGCCTTTGCCTCCCAAGTGCTGGCTCTACAAGCATATTCCACCATGACTGTTTTCATTAAGCTATTTGTCTAAGCTGTTTTTCTTTTGCTATGATGAGACACCATGATCAAGGCACCTTGTAGAAGAAAGCATTTATTTGAGGGCTTGCTTACAGTTTCAGAGGGTGAGTCTATGACCATCATGGTAGAGAGCATGGCAGCAGGCAGGCATGGCACTAGAGCAGTAGCTGAGAGCTTATGTCAGATCCCTGTGTTGGAGGCAGAGCGAGAGGTGGGGGGAGAGGAAAGGGGGAAAACAGGCAGAGAGAGAGACGGAGAGACTGGGCCTGGGCCTGGTTGGGCTTTTGAAACCTCAAAGCCCATCCCCAGTGACACACCTCCTCCAGCAAGGCCACACCTCCTAACCCTTCCTAAACAGTCTACTGACTGGGGACCAAGAATTTAAATATATGAGCCTATGAGCGCCATTCTCATACAAATTATATTATTTTTATTTAAAAAGAGCAACTGTGGATTTATTAAGGAAAAGTGAGAACGAACTTCTGATAGTGGCTTCTGAGGGAGAAGTGCCCCCAAGGATTTATTTAAAGTGATTTTGGCCTGTTATGGTAGCACCTGTAATTCTAGAGCGAGAAGGCAGTTGTACCCCCAGCTCTGTGTGGGAACACCCATTTTCTGTCCCTTGCCAGCAGTGGTGTTATTAAAAACAAAGCAAGCACACATGGTGGTGCACACCTGGGACCTTAGCATGCTGAGGCAGGAGGATCACTGTGAGTTTGACTTTACCCGGAGCATTCGAAGCAAGTCTGGACACCTGTCTCAAATACAAAACAAAACAGTCAAGTATATTCCTGTCTGTCAGGTGAAAAATCCTAATTTTTTTCCTTGCTTATCGCTGAGGTTGAGCAGGGTTGAACTTTGCGGACCATTTCTTGGCATGTTGGCTTTTGGTGATATGCTTATTTTATGGGTCGTTAGGGACTCACATTGCCACCTGTGCTGTCAGCCACTGAGTTGTGCATGTTCTCTCCGTGGTAGCCTGTCCTGAGTTGGCTGTGGACACAGGCTGTGGTTGAGCACGACAACACCTGTGGAAATGAACAGTCAGCTGTGGGCAGGAATTGTCTGCATGCTGCTCTACCCCAGTGAGTCTCTCGGCAGAGCCAGCAGGTGCAGAAGCCGCACTGAGTGACGAGGCGCACAGACATGGAGAGTGTCCTGTCAGCTGCTTGGCTCTGTAATTTGAACTGAAGTGAGTGCAGGGGCCTGGTTGATAAATGCCCTTTCTCTGTCTATTTTTGCTGATGGGAAAGTCACAGAGCTGGCACTGGAGCTCGGGGGCAGAACATTCATGTAGCGCATGTGCAGGAGGATCTGGGCACCGTAAAACATCAACAGACCCAGCAGCAACCCCAACCCAACACAGACCGGTTGGCCGCACATAACCTAGGAAGGTCCCTTCCCCACGCACCACTGTGAGAGCAGAGAGCTCCTTCCACACACACTTTAAAGAAAGCCTTGCTGAGGATGGGGCGGGGCCACTGCAGGCAACAGTTTCCGGGGTAAAGGCATAATTAGTGGGAATGGTGACTTCTTCAGATAGTTTTCTTCTTGTGTCTTGTTTAAAATAACACCAGGAAAAAATAAAATAAAATAAAACAACACCAGGGTGTTTCTTTGTCTTGCTTTGCTTTTTGATAGGTCCTTCAGTGGGCCAGAGGTCACATCAAGTATGGAGTTCTTCATATTCATGGCTTGTACACAGACCCCTGTGGGATGGTACTAGATCCATCGGGCTATAAAGATGTCACTCAAGATCCAGAAGTCATGGTAAGACTGATTTTCCTAGGCCTTGGGTGCCTGTTCTGTGGAAGTGATGGTGGCAACCAGCCATCTGGGTGTAGTCTGAGTGTTTCCCAGGCACTATGGTCCTCTGGGTAATGCGCCTTCCACACGGCTGCTGGGGAAAGGGCCAGAGTTTCCTGTTCATAGCTACATCTCTAGGTCCTGATATGGCGCTGCATTTTGATTAGATGCTCAGGGCACACCTACTCAAGGAAGAAATGTGCATGCTCCTCCTTAGAAAGTACAAACACTACGCCCAGCATAATGGAGAACATGTTAATGCTCTTGTTTTGTATTTTAGTAACTTAAGGTTGTACATAAGTCTAGGCGTTGACTTGGCTGAGTTGAGTTGGTGAGCCATGGGTGTACCATAGGCTGTCCTCACTGTGAGGCACATCCAGACTGGGCCAGTCCCCTGCCTCTGCTCCTTCTCATTGTCCTAGCTGAGAGATGGTCTTAGCCTAAGTTCACCCTAGGTTACACAGATCACGGCATGAGGTTGGCCTGAGTATATCAAGGGCTCGTGGCCTTTCAAAGCTCCTCAGGATGGCTCTAGGGAAGCCTGGTGAGTACAAGATAGGATGTGAACACACACAGAGGTGGCTTATGTGAATTGTGAACTCCTGCTGTCTTTCACTGAGGTGTTTTCCTTTGCTTATTGGCTTTCTCCAGGAAGTCCTGCAGAACCTGTACCGAACCAAGTCATTCCTGTTCGTGGGCTGTGGAGAGACCCTGCGTGACCAGATATTCCAAGCTCTCTTTCTGTACTCAGTGCCAAATAAGGTGGACTTAGAGCACTACATGTTAGTGCTCAAGGAGAACGAAGACCATTTCTTTAAGCATCAAGCAGATATGCTTTTGCATGGAATTAAAGTGGTGTCCTATGGGGACTGTTTTGACCTTTTCCCCGGATATGTGCAAGACCTTGCCACTCAGATCTGCAAACAGCAAAGTCCAGGTGTGGAGTTCTGTCATTACCTTCCAAGCGTCATCCATGGGTTCTTCTTCCATTGTTCCTCTTCTCATACTATAAAACTTAACAACCCAGTGATTTTTTTTTAATGCCTCTGAATTTAAAAAGTAGAAAATGAAAAAAAAAAAAAAGTAGAAAATGGGGCGATTGGTGTGATAGTGGCAATATGTAAGAAGGACTCGAGGCTTCTGCCCACAAACGTGGGGCACCCGATTATGTTTCAGGTTAGCATAGCCAAGAAAAGCTCTCAGGCCAGTTTTATTGGTTGTCATAGTTAAACCTTAATTATGTGAATATCATATCCCTTTAGCCAGTCACTACATTTTAAAAGCTAAAACTTGGCACAGGAAAAGTTTATGACAGCATTGACTTTTTTTTTTTTCTTCTTCCTGAAAGCACATCTCTTTGTAGTGTGAAGCACAATACACATCTATTTCATTTGTGTTCTTTGGCCTTTCTGGTGAGTCACAGCTTTGCCAGGAAGACCACAATAATGGGAAATACTGACGGAGTCACATTTACATAAGGGAATTAATGGCTTTGAATTCATAAAACATAGATGACAGCAAGCAAGGAAAGTTCTGTACTGACTGCCCTTTCATGGTAACAGGAAACCCAGAGCCTCACCAGGTGGTGGAATAAGGTTAGCAGAGACCAGCGAGAGACACAGTGCAGCAGCCATGAGTTTCCGACACTCTAGCCCTTTAGCTGCTGGAGTTTAATTAGTGGAGTTGGCTGATTTAAATTGTGAGTAGGTGTGTAATTAGGGTCGTAGTCAGTTTGTTACTGGGAGTGGGAGCAGAGAATTCATGTTGTAGAGCTGTGTTGTGCACAACTACGAATTTTACGTTATTGCGCTTATTAGTGTATCATTTTGTTTTCTTGAGCCAGGGTCTCACTATGTAGCCCTGGCTATCCTAGAACTCACTATGTAGATCATGCTGGCCTGGAACTCACAGATCTATCTGCCTGTCTCTGCCTCCCATGTGCTGGGATTAAAGGAGTGCTCACCGTGGCCAGCTGCCCTTAGTTTTTAGTATCAGTACGTGTTGTTACTAAGATGATATCAGCTAAGAAAGGTGAATGCTTATCAGGTGTGTGCCAGGACTTTGAAACTTGTATTTGATCCTGGACTCACACAGACAAAAATATCTTGGTACCAGTTGTATGCATGGATCTTCAGAGACCGCCTTCACCCTACCCACCTCTGTCCTGCCCGCCACCTCTTGAGACTCCCCAGCCATGACTCCCTGGAAGAACAGCACCTAGCCACTGAGTGTGGGTACCCAGAGGAAGCGGCTGAGCTGCTTCTCATCCCCACTGGTGCTCCCTTTCCAGGACCTGCAGCTGAATGGAGTCAGGTTTTCATCTGTGCCTGCCATGAAGGACATTTGTGTTTGTATTCTCTCCTGATGGGCGAGGCTGCCTACTGACAATGAAGGTGACATTAGCTACTTGTGGGTACTATGCCTCACCGCATGTGCAGGCCAGCCCCAGAAATGTCACATGGTCATGCAGCGAGTTTTTGTATCCGTCCTGCCAGGTGAAGAAGGGAGTGACACAGGCAGGGCTTCATGGCTAGCATGTGATGCAATTGGCATAGAAGCCTGTCCAAAGCAGTGGATGGCCTCGGGTGGCCTTTGCCATCATTCCAGGCCTGAGGAGGAGGAGTACTCCAAGTCTTGGCTTTGCTGACTGTTTCCTTTCTTCCCAGATGCTGAGCGAGTGGACAGCACCACCTTACTGGGTAAAGCAGATCTTTACTCTTGCTCACCTGAGTTTTGCTTCCATGTTCTATTCGTCACCATTGGTAAAATCATGAAAGTCTTCCTAAGATTCAGTAGTTTGCCTTATTAAATAGGGCAGAAAGGATAGATAGCTATACCTTCAGATGGTCCCCACCACAGGAAAGGCACAAAAGTCCATTTCCTCCACCAGGAAGCATGGCCTAGTCATGGACTACCTGCTGACACCAGAGAATAATTTCTGCCCTAGAACCAAGAGTTATGGGAAACCAGAGTAACGTTCTCTTTGGATTATCTTATCAGTGAAGGAATCGTCATTGTATGTGAACTTTCATACACATATTTTTTTTTCTTTTAATACTTGTTTGAAGTGTGAATGCTGTTGCTGGGTTTGATGCTTCCAGTTTATACACTGATGACTCGGCAGCTTCCAGTGGATAGATCTTCCAGTGGATAGATTAGGCAGGATGTCTCTACTGCCTGAGTCATCAGTCTAAAGGGGTTCTAGTCAGTGAGCAGGAGCCTGTCCACAGCCCGGCCACTGCCGCCTGTTGGGCCAGTGTATCCAGACAGGACAGAGTGTGACGGTGCAGGGACAGCCCATGTCAGTGGTAAAATGGGCTCAGTCCAGGACTGTTACAAGCTGTTCTCTGCTATCCATGTTTGTGTGAGAGGATAGTATTTTTTGCTTTATTTTTTCCTCCTTAAGTGTGAGTCCCATAATAGCAATTTTCCTCTGAAAGCAACATTAAATCAGTAGATAAAATATGCACTGCATTGCAGGGAAACCTTGGCCAGTGCCTCAATAAAGTCAGGTTCAGAAGCTGGATTCTGGAAGTAGACTCTATGATAGTGTGTTAGCCACTTCCCATCACAGTGACAAAATACTTGAGAAGACTTGAGGAAGGACTTAACTGTGGCATGTAATTTCAGAGGTTTCAGCCATGGCCACAGGGCTCCCTTCCTGTTCATGGTAAGGCAGAGCAGAGTACGGAGGAGCAGCCAGGAACAAGACACACCTTTCAAATACATGCACCCAGTGACCCCACCTGATAGCGCATTCAGTACAGACTCAGTACATAAGTGAGTTAGAGGGTGGGCTATCTAGGGAGAATGTGTGCTAGTTTGAATAAGATGTCCCCCATAAGTCTTGGTTAGGCATTTGGATACTTTGTCTCCAGTTGGTGCTGTTTTGGTAAGCTAAGGAAGTGTGGCCTTGCTGGAAGAAGTGTATCACGGTACTTGGCACAAAGTACAAGGTAGATCCCAAGTGGTTTAGGCAGCTCTATCCCATGGCTTGTCAGCTGCAGTTCATATGGCCTCTCTGGGGCTGGCTCTGCTTGTTGCTGGCAGCTTTTCCCCTGCCACTTGGTGTGTGCATCACAGCTTTGGCTTTGCTCAGCTTCATTCGTCCTACCTGTCAGTGGCGAGGGATCCTAACCCTTCTATATTGTTTGGCCTCTCTGGCTTCCTTATCAGATGTGGGTAGAAGCCTCCAGGACTCCACTACTTATGCTTCCCCTGTGTCTGCAAAACCAGACAGGAAGCACTGTTGCCAGTAGGAGCAGTAATGGAGGCACAGCTGGCCCATGGCTGCAGTTGCTCCTGTGTGCCTTCGTGGGTGGATGAGGCATCCCTGAGCAAACAGCTCTGGAGCTCTTGGATGGAAACTTGAGTTGTAACCTTGATCCCTTTGAGCCTGTAGTGGATAGCCCGAGCTAGTTTCCTGTTGTCATGATACAAAAGTATGGGGCTTGCTTTTAATGGCGCTACTCTTAATTGGCAGCCACACCGTCTTTGAATGTCCTGCTTTTCTGGCCAAACTGCAAGGTTTTCTAATTCTTTTCTGTTTATTGCTTTAACTCTCACTGTGAAGCTAGCTAAAAGCAGCTCGTAATACCCATGCCACAGCCTTCACTAGATATTTAGTCTGTCATTTTTCAATTTCACTTCCTACAAAGTCTCAGGGCATAAGCAAAATGTAGACAATTAATTACTTTTTCTAGAATGTGAAGTGAATGGCCTGTAGTCTAACCCCCAGGAGTCCTCATTTTCACTTGACGCTGTGAGCAGTCCTTACGGGTTGCATTCCTATCAGCATCCTGGGCTTCTGAAGGCTCAGCATTTCTAAGCCTGTCCTAAGAGGTTTCTCTAACCTGCTTGCTGTAAATCACTCTTGCAAACTAGTTCCAAAGGCTTCTGGAGCACATCCTGTAGTCATTGCCTCACTTGTTGGCACCAGCTCCATACTGGCCCTTCCGTGGCAACTGATGGAGAAAACACAACTTAATGAGATATTTGGCTCTCGGGCTTGTCCTTAGTCACCTAGCTCCCTTGTTTCTGGATCCGTGATAAGACAGAGATGTGGCAGAAGACAGTTGCTCACTTCAGAGTAGCCAGAGAGGGAGAGAGAAGAATAATGCAAGAGGCAAGGTAGGAGGGCGCATGCCCTGGGGCTGACTCCTTCCAGCAATGTTGTTGATTAGGTCAGAGCCCTCAGGATCTAATTACCACTCCCAACAGCTGAACTTTTGGGTTCTGCATTGGGGACCAACCCTTTAACCCATGAGGTTTGGGGGGATAGTTCACATGTATTCCATAAAAAGTAGGCAAACTATTTTGACTTGTGATGGACAATTTTGAGGATATATAAAGATAGTAAGTGAATTCCCAGAGGGTAACGCCATCTCTTACCCTCTTGCTGTCTTTTTTTTTCCTTCTGGACTATTTTAATTAGTTTAAATTTTTTATTTTTTATAATTTTTTATATTTTTTTTTCTTTAAGGTAACGCATGTCAGGATTGTGCGAAGAGGAAGTTGGAAGAGAATGGAATTGAAGTTACAAAAAAAGTCAGACAGTCAGACAGCGGTAGGTGTTTTTTGTTTCTGTGGGGAACTATCTTAGCTCTGTAGGTGTCTGTAGTTAGTGCTTTGCTCACCCCTGGTCCGTGGGAAGACTCGGCACATAAATCATGTCAGAATCACACAGACCTTTCACACTACTGTGATTGAAGGAAAACAAGCAAGTGATGGTGTTGTAGCATTAACTCGGTGAGTTGTCATGAGGAAAAACTCATGACACCCATTTGGTCATACTAAGTTAGCAAACAGAACATTTTGGGAGTACCCCCCACCCCCACCCCAGTGCCCACATTCATCTCTAAAAAAGCTGTAATGCCAGGATCATGGGACCCTCAGAGATCACCAGGTCTCTGATGCAGGAGCAGGAGAGCTTTATTACGAGAGCAATTGGACTCGGGGCCCAAGTCTCACTGACGCAGCAGTAGAGAAGTGGGACCTCGAGCCCTGAGTAAGCAGGGTTTTTAAAGGGAAAGACTGCAAGCAGGGAGTTTCTATGACAGCAAGCGGGGGGGGGGGGGGAGGTACGTCTTGATGTTACAGGATTAGGTAAAAGTTAGAGGGGCGAGGTGACCTTCTCTGAGGCACATAATCACAGTTGTCTAAGGCATATCTTCATAACTGCTATTCTTCTAAACTATATCTGAAATATTGGGGAGAATTTTCCTAGCTGATTCCCAACCGATTCTCATTGATTGTTGCCAAGGGGATTGTCTCTATTTTCTATGAAGTATTCTGTGATATTTCTTAGAGGCTGTTGCTAGGAGAGTCAACTTTGTTGTCTGCCAAGTGTACATTCTGTGACATTTCCTGGGTTCAGCTCCCAGTAAAAATAGCTATTTATTTCAAAATGGAGTTATACCCAGGCTAACTTAAACTCTTCAAAGCCACTTCAGGGGCTTCAGAGGTGGCTCAGAGGTTGAGAACACTGGTTGTTCCTCCAAAGGTTCTGAGTTGAATATCCAGCAACCACATGGTGGCTCATAACTATTTATGGTGAGATTTGGTGCCCTCTTCTGGTACATAGGCACACATGCAGGCAGAATGCTATATAAATATTAAATAAATCTTAAAACCCTGCAGATTCTTGTTTTGTGTTATCTCTACCACTAATATAAACTTGTAAAGTTTCAATTGCTTCATTTCAGTAGACTCTTTCCCTTGATACTAGGAAAGGTGATCTGGCTGGGTACTCATGTCCTTACCACCCTTTGCTCTCTTCTCCAGGTTCGGTCATATATATTTCTAGTTATTAGTGCTGGGTTTGAGTCTGTTGGTTGAGCTCTGACAGGCTTTTCCCTCCCTTCTTATCTCTCTTCTCCACCTCCCTCCCAAGTGCTGACTCTTAACACTGCCAGTGTCAAGCACCTGGAACTCACTCTGTAGACCAGAACTCAAAAGAGATCTGCCTGCCTCTGCCTCCTGAGTCCTGGGATTAAACGAGTGCACCACCTCTGCTTGGCTCCTTTAGTGCTTCTTAATATTCATTTTCAATCTTCATTAAAACACTTTGAGAGATTCTCAAAACTATTTTAGTCCTTAGGTTAAAATTTTATTGTTATTTTTGAGTGCCTGGAGCTTGGGCTATAAACCAGGGTCTTGTATATGCTAGCACAATGAGCTACAGCTTCAGCATCTAAACTTTTTTTTAAAGATGGGATTTTCACTATGTATCTTTGGCTGGCCTGGAACTCACCACATATAAACCAGGCTGACCTCAAGATATCTGTCTGCCTCAGCCTCCCTAGTAGTGAGACTAGAGATGTGTGCCACCGTGCCCAGATTAAAATTCTTAAATAGTGTGACCTCAGGTTTCCAGGAGTTCCCCTCTTATTCAGCCTTGCTCCATATTGTTGTACAGTGCTGGGATAAGCCTTTTCAAGTCTTTGAGGGCCCCAGAGGCTGTTCTGATCATATGCTACCGCTTCATTCCTGAAGCATTGGGTAGATTTCTGATCATAGAAGAAAATCTTAGGCTTCAGCATTATGGAATATCTCTGTAATCAATCATAGCACATTGAGGCTGAGGCAGGAGTACCATGAGATTGAGATTGGTCTAGACTATATAAGAACCCTTGAATCAAAAACAGCAGAGGGGAGAAAAGGGGACACAAGTATATGTGTGTGAACTACTCTTGAACACCAATATAACTCTTCTCCAATAATTTTCTAGAGTTTTGGAATAGTTAGCATGTTGATGACACGCTGAATATCTAAAGCTAACTCCTTAGTAGGTGTCTGATCAGTACTGTGACAGAGCTTGGACATTCCTAATGTGAAATCTTCCCAGACTGAAACTTTTTGGTACTCAGAAGTTTTGGGTTTGAGAGGAGATGGCTGAGTGATTAAGAGTGTTTGCTGCTCTTTCAAGAGGATCCTGAATTCAGTTCCCAGTTCTCATGTGGCTCACAATCACCTATAACTCTAGCTCCAAAGAATTTGATGCCGTTTTGGTCTCTACTTAAAAAATATTTTTTTTTAAAGTTATAGATTTGGAAACATTTTAGATTTCCAGTTAGGGATCTTTAATCCCTTCAATTCTATGGAAAGATTCCCAAGTCCCCAAAGCTGAGAAATCTCAAGTGCCTTTGGGTCCTAAACACTTTGGATAAGGGATATATGTACTATATGTTCTAAGAACATGAGTTGCTGAAGTCATCTGTCATTGATAAAGAGTCACAATGAACAAAAATTGCCTAGTCAAATGAAACAAGATGAGTTCAGATGTTCTCTGCAGTGTGAATTGATCAGTTGGGATGAGTGGCAGGAGACAGGAGGCTGTGGAGGCTTCGCTCAGGTATATCGGGAGTGCGTTGAGGTCCTTCTAGGACAATGGCTGGGAACAGCTGCTGGAGAGTGCATGCTTCTTCCAGATTTGTATAACTTTAGTGCATCTGGTACTTGTATCTATAAACAGGAAATTCAATTTTGTGTATGAACAAAATTTCTTGACATCTTTCATTTGGATTGTGTTTTTAGTTGGCAAGCACATCTATAACTAAAAGAGAGCAGACTAGTTCCTTAGTTGCTGCCCAGAGGCAGCACTGTCTGAGCTTCTTTTCTGTTAGTCTTCATGTTTCTGTTTTTTCTCACATCTAAACATCTCCGCTGTTTTCTGATGTGTAAGATCCCAGTGGTTGTTTTTAGTAGACAGTTGTGGATTGTTTTTCTTTTTCCTGCTGTCACCTGTATAGTAGGCTTTGCATGTTTACCAACTCTATCAGGTGCCAGTGCTGGTAGACAGTGCCATAGAGCAGTGGGCCAGGGATCCTCTTTGATGCCCAGAAAGAGCTTTGCCCCTAATAGCAATTGATTCAGCCTTGCCTCTCTCCAGGTAGTCATGTCTGCTTGAGGAAATACCTCTGGCCTGTTCTGCATATGGACGAGAAAGGCCAAGGGTCACCTTCTTAGTCCTACTATCCATACTTGGAGCCTGAAGATCCCCAGAGGAATGGTGTGGCATGTGGCAGTTGAAGTGTGTGCATTCTGAACCTTCATTTCTTTATCCGTACTTAAAACAGGCTTTCACTGCACGTGTGCTAAAATTGCTGTCTTGATTCTACCAGAAAACAGCACTGAAGAACATAATTCTTTACAATGTATATTGTACCTGGTAATATTTATAGCTCTGCAAGGCCATTTCTAGACAGTAGCTACTGTTCCAGTTATGGAAGGTTTTTAAATTTTTCAGCATGTGAGGTGGTTGTGGAAACAGAAATCCTGATATAATTATTTTAGCTGAACTGAAACACTTTGGTATTTCTTTTGCTTAAACAGATGATGCTGGAGGGTCTTGAAATTTTTCGAACTTGAAACTTGAAAACCAGCCTTCTGTAACCACAGTGCCATGCCCAAGCGATGAGGAATGTACAGAGGACTCCATATGGATCTCTTAATAGTGAACTGTCGCATACCCCCAAAACAGCCGTGTGGGTGTGTGACCTTTGTGAATGACAGCTCCACTATGTGCTTAGCTGCTCAGGTGGTGACATGGACACACTTCAGGTATAATCTGTAAGGATTAATGGACAGCTACCTCAGGGACCAAATTGGGGGGTGGGAGGTGGGATATACCTGGCATTGTTCCCTTCTCCCTTTTGACATGTTTTAAGTCAGGGTGTTATTTTTCCTAATACATGGAGGAGAATGAAGACTGTCCAAGCAACAGTAGTTGCCAAAGAGAAAATAAGACATAAACATTTATATTTCTATCTTTATGTGGAAACATCTTTTACTGTAGAAAGTTTTTTAAAGAAGTGTTGGTTAAATTGTTAAGTAGTAAATAAGTGGATAGTAGAGGCACTGAACCCACTAGTGGAAATGGTTGTTTTTAAAGGGATGATTAGATTGATTGGGTTTCTTTGGAATTGTGACATTTCAGTAATTTCTGTTCCAAAGAAATGTCAGACTGTCTGTTAGGGAGTGTTAGGTCCAGAGAGACTGAAGACCTTTTTCAAAGTCTTTAGTGCTGTCTAGGTCTACCATGTGACTTACAAGTTAAATGTGAAGCACAAGAGCAAGCTGTAAACTTTCAGAAGTTCTAAGCTTTCCTAGTCTTATTTCTCCAGGATAAGGCCCATCCTTTCTGTTCTCCTCTCTTTCCATGGTTCATATTAAGACTTAAACAGAGTGGGGTAGGCAGTACTTTGAAAGGGCTTACCACATTTTAACTACTTTCAAGGTTTACTTCTGGGGATTGCACATGCCCAGAGCTCCTCTGATAGTGCCTGTGGCAAAGGCTCACGTGTTACACAGAGTGGTCCTGAAAGGAAGACTTCTTGGAAACAGGCCTTGCATGGCTCATTTGGGGCTACCCATCTTTGATATGATGCCAAGCTCTTTGCTACCTAGCCAAGCCCTGCCTGTGACATTGCATGGATGGCACTGTTGCTCCCAGGGGGACAGGGATAATTAAGAACAAGGAACATAGGTTGAGACAGAGAAGCCAGAGACAAGCTAAAGAACCTCCCCAACCCCTTTTTAAGTGTGGAAAATAAATCTTTTATGTCACTGGTTATAAATAAAATTTTAAAGTCAACCCTGTGTGCTCAACTTTTCTTTAGTTATGACAGCATATGATGTGTGTGTGTGTGTGTGTGTGTGTGTGTGTGTGTGTGTGTGTGTAAAATAAGAATGTTTAGCTTGAGTTGCCACTGAACTATGAAATCAAGCAAACAACTTTTGAATGTGTTTAATTTAAAAAAACATGAATTTTTGAAAGTTGGTTTTTGGAGAGATAGATGGCTTAGCAGTTAAGAGCACATACTGCTTCTGTAGAGGATCCAAGTTCGGTTTCCAGCACCCACATCAGGTGGCTCACAGCCACCCAGGGAATCCAGTGCCCTCTTCTTGAGTCTGTGGGCTCTGCACTCACATATGCAGACCCCCAACAGAGAGATTATTTTTAACTATTATTAGTGTTTTGAGATAGGGTCTTACCTTATAGGCCAGGCTGACTTCTAGCTCATAGCAATCTTCCTGCTCAGCCCAGTAAGTGCTGTGATTACAGGATTACAAACTCAGCTTTTTTTTTTTTTTTCTTTTTTAAACACATTTACTAAATGCTAGCAGGGGTAGATAGGTAAATATTAAAGTTGGATCTAACATAGTTTAGCAAAATTACATTCTGTTGACTGTAAAAGAAAATTCAATCTGAGTTTTTTTTTTGCTATAATGAGTTATATTTATGGTCAATCTTTTTGTTATGGTATGTTTTGAATGTAGCTTTATTACAATGATTCATGTATTAGAAGGAAACAGTCGTAGCACAAGGTGTTTTTTTCTCATTTTATCAGTGAGAAGCACAAAGGTAGGTGACAAGTTCTGGCTCTCTCTGGTGGGCCAGAGCTAAAGAACTACATTCTAGGTAGTTCTGAGAAATTCCTTACAGCATCACCAAATCTGGAAACATTAACTGTGGTTCTTCAAGAAGTCCGCTGATCCTTGTTCTAAGTGGACTGCACCCAGTTTCTTGGAGCTGAGCGAATACCCTGAAATCTCCACTCTGCAGCTCCCTCAGGCTCAGAGGTTCTCTACTTCACATAAGCACCATGCCTCTTCCTCTGAAGACTTGAGTTTCAAACAGCCCTCTTCATACTACCTACTTTTTCCCATAGGTTAACATGAGGGCTCGCTCAGGGTAAGTTGACAATTAATTGTAGCATTTATGTATTTCTTAACTACTTAATGTATATAAAAACTATCTTTGTTTTTTTGGAAGCGTACTTCAATAACCTTATTTTCTTTTAAAGATTTATTGATACATATGAGCGCTCTATTTGCATGTATGCCTACATGACAGAAGAGAGCACCAGATCCCGTTATAGATAGTTGTGAGCCACCATGTAGTTGCTGGGAATTGAACTCAGGACCTCTGGAAGAGCAGTGCTCTTAACTGCTGAGCCATCTCTCCAACCCCCTCAACCTTATTTTACTACATCTTTTTTTTTTTTTTTGGTGTGTGTTGTGCATATGTGGGAGGAAACTAAATCTTATTTTTTTGGTTTTTCAAGACAGGGTTTCTCTGTGTAGTCCTGAATGTCCTGGTACTTGCTCTGTAGACCAGGCTGGTCTCAAACTCACAGAGATATGCCTGCCTCTACCTCCCGAGTGCTGGGACTAAAGGCGTGTGCCACCATGTGCCACCACTTCCTGACTGTGAAACTAAGTCTTATGACTCAGTCTACTAAGTAGGTGTAGAGTCTGTTTTAGGTACAAGAAACAAGTGCTATTCAGAAATGACTCATGGTTTTAGAAGGTAGTTCCCGTGTCAGCACTTGGACCAGACCAGACTTCCATGGAGACCTGCAGAGTCCTCCAGTTCCACTTTGAAATGGGAATAAGCACTGCTGAAAACTACCACGTTCTTTCCTCTGCAATGGAATTTATATGAAGTCGCTGTTACCTGGCACAGCCTTATAATTCAGTGCACCCTTGAAAGAAACGAGACTTAAAGATTGTACTGAAGCACACGATTCAGCTTCACCATCACAAGTCTTCTGTTTTTAAAACTTGTGAGATTATTTATATCGACACATACTCCCTCTGAAATACCCCCCTATAGAGCAGGCCCACCAGCTTACTAACTGTACTGTGACTGGCACCTGCAGAAACTCTCATGACTGGGGAGGCACTCAAAGCTACAACACTAACACTTGGGTCTGGGCTCCATCTCTACCGCCCCAAAAATAATACCCCCAGCCAGCTGTTTCCTCTAAAGATAAAGATAACTGCAAGGCAGGGCCAGAGCAAAGATCTTTCAGAATTCAAATGTTTATAACCAATTTAATTCAAAACAGAAGTCCTTAAAAACAAAAGGAAACCACACACCTTATCCATTGCTGCCACAGGAAACCTCTATTGGAATGTGGCTGAGCACTCTTTAACCAGAGTGAGCTACACAGCTTGTTTCACTAACCGTAAATTTTTCTTCCATCACACAAAGGTCTAAACAGACTGACCTGGCCTCTAAAGGGGCAGGGTATCCTTATTTCTAACGAGACTGGGGAGACTGTGGGGACTGTGATGCTCGTGGTGCTCTGGGCTTCCGGTGTCGTCTCCTGCTTTCTTGGTCTTCAGTGTCTGGATACTTGGAAAGGTCCAGAGTCAACACGTGGCTGAACATGCATTCATTGTGCTGAAATGGAGGAAGGTCAGCTTTAGTAAAGTTCTCCTGATTAGAGGGAAGGTATTAAAGTGAGGCCATTAGTTAATCTTGATTTACATTTATAAGGGATTAATTACCCTGTTTGTTTTTTTCAAACAGGATTTCTCTATGTAGCCCTGGTTGTCCTTGAACTCACTATGTAGACCAGGTTATCCCAAAAATTTAGAGAAATCTGCCTGCTTCTGGCCCCTGGGTGCTGGGATTGAAGGCATACATCACCACACCTGGGTCAGTAAATTAATTTTTATTTTAGCTTAAAGGGAAACAGCCTAAAACAGAAGGTCCAGAATTGTTCCTCTGTTCCCTTGGCTCAGGTTTTTAATTATCTTAAAAATGTATTTTGTGTATATATGGGTTTGTGCCTACAGGGTGCAGGTATGTCGGTTAAAGGACAACTTTCAGGGGTCAGTTCCCTCCTTTCACTACATGGGTCCAGGAGATGGAGCTTAACAGGCTTGGCAGCTGTTGCCTTTACCAACTGAGCCATCTCAATGGCCTTAGCTCAGTTTTTGAACTAAGAATTTGTTTGAATGGCTTTAAAATGGCTGTGTTGAAATTATGAAAGTTTATATGTATACCCATTGGAGCTTCTGGTAAATTTGTTTTTTACTATAATGCATCCATTTTTGCATAAAATATTCACAAGTCAGAAACATGAACATTATTAACAGTCTCTTCTGTGTTACTTAACTATTTGCAAAGCACAAGAACCACACTATTGCAGTTTTAAAGATATTTTTACTACACTTATTTACTCGTGTGTGTTGGGGAAGGGATGAGTTGTTTTTCACTATTAAGTGGGTCTGGAGAATCAAACTCAGGTCAATAGGCTTGGTAGCAAGTGCCCCAGCCTGCTGGGCCATGACCTACAGTTTTAATTTTCTTCTTTCAATTAAAATATGTCTTAAGGCAGCTGGAGAGATGACTCAGAGGTTAAGAGCACTGGCTGCTCTTCTAGAGGTCCTGAGTTCAATTCCCAGCAGCACATGGTGGCTCACAACCATCTATAATGAGATCTGGTGCTCTCTTCTGGCATACAGGTGTATATGCAGACAGACCATTATATACATAATAAATAAATCTAAAAAAAAAAAAAAAAACCAAAGGGAGAGAAGAAATGAAATTAGGGATATTTTACAAAATGTCTTAAATCTTTCTGTCAAGAAGAGTATCTGAGTAATTACTTGTAAATCTTACTCATTTAAAAATCATTTGGTTTATATTTAATCCACTGTAGAAACCCAATACTGTCTGCAAACTCCTGGATTGTGCAAGGAAATGCCAAGACTGGCAGGGTCAGAGGAGTTTATGGGGCCTGTCCCTGCCCCTGTGTCTCTTACCTCTGGGTAAATACCTATCAGTGCATCAGCTCTGGAGTAGAACTCCTCTTTCAGGGAAATGATTATCATCTGAAACTGTTCCTGACTCTGCTCTTTGATGTAACTTGAAACCTGGGAGGAAATAAAAAGCACGCATTTCACCAGCAAAGCAGGGCCTCCTTTGGGCTCTGGGAACAATGATTCTTTTTCGTTTTAATTTTAAAAATCACATTTGAGTTCTAACTCAAAGCTTCAAGACTGGGAAAATGTGACAATGTATACGATTGCATAATAAAAGTCTTGATTAAAGATGAATTCTAGCTCCTTCAGGAAGCTCAAGTCCATGGAACTAAGTAAAATAATTGGGGTGTGATAGTGCAATTTTGTAAATCAAGAGAAGCAAAGGGTTTGAGATCCCAGGATCCTCAAGGGAATGTCTGGAATCATCTATCATCCTTCCACTAAGGTCCCCCCCCCTCCACTTTGTTGTTGTTTTTTTCGAGATATTTCTCTGTGTACCCTCTGCTGTTGGGGACTTGCTTTGTAGAGCAGGCTGAGGTTCTACCCTCTTAAAGCACAACCTTTATGTGGGACATTTTATATCCAGACCATCATATCCTCCTATCTCCTGTTCTCATCACTATTCTAAGACTTCCACTCCTGAATCATGGCTACTGCCATGGCCTCTTGAGTCCCTTCTGTGAAAGTGGCTTTAGCCTGTCTCATTCATTCACTGTAGGTGGTACTTCAGAAGCATAGTTTGTTATCTTGAGTATGCAGTAGTTAGGACCAGTGTACCCTGACCTAGACCAATCTTAGGTACTTGGTAAGTACTTTTGTCTAAGTCTTAGTTATCCTGTACCCATTCTTTGAGTGGTTTATTTTTTCATTTTGTTTTGTTTGGCAAGCAAGCCATCGAATTGCCTAGTCTTCCTCCATGGTTTCTTCTTCAAGCTTCTTCTTGAGTGTTTGTCCTGACTTTCCTTAACAATGGACTAACTTGAAAGTATAATCCTAGTAGGCCCTTCCCCCCCCCCCCAAGTTGTTTTTGGT